AAGCTTATATCATAAAAAGTAAAAAATTTAAAGCAAGTATTGCATTGTATTTATAGTAGGTAATTTAGATCATTAAAAAACCCGTGTTCGATTGATAAGAAATCCACGGGGTATGATATAGTATTATTAATATTAAAGAGGAACTTTTATACAGTATGACTATTTACTAAATTTCAAGAGATAATTTATTTCAAATATAGTAATAAAAAATTACAGCTAAGTATTTTTTTTAACTAAAAAATACATCAAGATTTGTTTGTCATATTGATTTTGTTTTTTGATTCTAATGAACTTTTCAATCTTTTCTATTAATTTTATGTATTCTTCCACACCATCCTGTTGAAGAAGAAACATACGAACAGTTTTTAAGCTGAACATAGTGGTGCTGGCACCAATAATAGAACTTTCATTACTATCATCTGCTTCATCTAAATCTACATCTTCATCAGCATTTCTAAAAAGATATACGAGTTCATCAATAATTTGATCATCCTCTGGAGCTTCGTAAACTACATCTTCAGAAATGTTAAGAAATTCTTTAACTCTCATTGGGTAAGAAAGTCTAAGAGCTTGCAATGTGTCTACAAGATTGTCATGTGCTGAATTTTCTTGGTAAGTATTTGCTGAAGTATTTGCTAAAGTGCTTGCTGAAGCATTTCTTTCAGCATTGATATCGTATAGAAGAATCTTTGTATAGCACTAACAATTGTGGATAGTTTTAGTACTAATCTTATCCCAGGCTTGAATAATAAAATTAATTGCTTGCAAGACATTTATATGCAAATTTTCAGCACAGTTGCTTTTTTCTACATGTTGCAGCATTAAGCTTTAAAAAAAAAATAAATAAAAAAAAAATAAAAAAATAAATAAAAAAAAATATATATATATAAATAAAAAAAAATAATAAATAAAAAAAAAATTTAATAATAATAAAAAATATTAAAAAAGTCAGACTTATATTTTTTATAGATCTAATATGGGTATGCCTTACCTTACATAAAGGCAATGATAGAATCTTTTAAATGTCATAATAATCTCAGCATCCAATGGTTAGATTTTCAAAGTAGTATTTGAAGGCAAAAACAAAACTTCGGTATACTGCAAAGTAAGTCCAGTTAAAATATAACTGGGATAGTTATCAAGAAGAAGTAATACACGTTGGCCTTGATGCATTTGACCAACTTGACGATTAAATTCTTAAATCCACTCTTAAAAAAGCGATGAAATCATCCAAGCTTTTGCATTGCTACTATACTTCATAGGCATATTTTGAATTCTTATATTTTTAAAACAGTGAGGTCTTTGATATTTGCCGATTACAAGAGGGTCTAATTTATGAGAGCTATTAGCATTTACACACAATGTGACTGAAAGACGTTCTTTATTTATTTTACACCCAGAAAGATGTCTAGTTGCAAGTGTTCGATCTGGCTCCAACCTATAAAATAGAAATATAGGCTGCTATTAATAAAAATCAGACATATTTATTAAATAAATATGTTTGATTTTTATTGATAGTAGCTAATACTATAAATTATTCTAATAAGGGCTGTGACATATATTACGTAATATCATTTTATCAAGGGGCTACCCTCCTCCCCCCACGTCATATATGATCATATATAAAATATATATATAATATCATCTCTAGGTACCCCCCCCTCTAGGATATTACGTAATATCTGTCACTGCCCTAACAGAAAACATTATTTAAATATATAGAATAATAGAATATCACCAAATGATTTTACCTATAAAAAAGCCTGATTTCATCTATATTGTAGATTCTTTCAAGAGGATATTCAGAGCAACAATTTTTTATCAAGGGTAAAGCATTATTAATGGCAGTTTCATTAGCAGATCCTGCCTCTCCTTTAATCCTTCGTTGATGAATACTATTATGATTTTTAAATTTATAAAGCCACCCAGCGAAAAATTGAAACACATCTTAAGAAATTTTCAATCTTTCAGCAAGCAATTTTGCTTTTTCAATAAGGATCGCATCGCTTAACACCATTTTATTTTGATAGATTAAAACAAATTCCTTGAGTGCAAGCTCAAGTTCAGGGTAGGTAACAGATTTATGTCATTTTATATCTGGGCTAATTGGTTCTGAACTAAGTCGATGTTTTTCTGTTTTTAAAATGCAAGAAATGGTGCTTTCATTAATTCTAACCCCACTATTCTTTAATTCAATTAATATATTGAGCCTGTGTTAGTTTATTATTGAGGGCGTAAGCACAAAGATCTCACTTTTGAATTTCAGTTAGGGTGGTTCTCTTGTGAGACATTTTAAATACAATATTGCACAAAGGTTTGTTTAATTTTTATGTTTATTTTTTATTTTATTTTATTTTTATTTATTTTTTTTGAATTTATATCTTGTATTTATAACTAATTTTATGTACATATTACAGTATTATTA